TAATTATTTCATAGAATATCCGAGGAAACATCTAAGACATAAAAAAATATTTCATGTTTTTTTAACTTTGACCAAATTCGGTGTTGAATCCTTATACGCACGAAAATAGGTTACACCACTGTACTGTTAATTTATATTGGGGTTAACTAGTGTCTTATTTATGAGAAAACAGGAAATGAAGGCCATTTTGAACTGCCAAAATACTCAAGGAGGATTTATGAGAACTTTAAAGATGGTTTTCCTTATCTTTTATTGTCAAATTAAGCAAACTATTTGATTAATTGGTGTTTCTAATGAATTATCAGGTATTTTTAATCATATTATTATGTTCTTATTGCATATAATTAAGAGTTTTAACCAATCATAAATGTCCATGTATGAACAGTCTGGATAAACAAAAAAGAGACATTTTGACCTTTCTTGATCGGTCAATCATTGGAATTCTTCTGGTATTTCTCTTCTAATTTATCTAATTATGAATTAATTAGATACATGTGAGACAAACTGGCATTTTTTACAAGCCATTACAACACCTTTACTTTCTATTCATAAAATAAGGGAACCCATCTTTAAATACATGTTATAGTAGATAAAATCCCGTTTCCGAGTTTTTCAAATTTCAGAATTAAAAATGAGGTCAAATTATGAACTATTATTCATGGAATTCTTACAATTTAAAATCAATTTTATAAAGTTGCCAGACTGAATCAAATGAACATTAAATTTTAATAGCAGATATTGAACATTCTATTTGAAATTGAAATGTTAAAACGAAACGTAGTTTGGATCATCAAAATGAGAAATGATCGTCTGTTGATGAGGCAAGAATTCTACAGTCAACTATCTGAAGTGGCTATATATAAAAAATAAAAGCTTATAAATGAAATGAAATGAATTTTACGTCCTACTTTTCTGAACCATGTGGGCTAATGAAGACGGACAACGCCATGAAGGGTGTAATAAGGGAAATTTTGCCGGGATATTCAAATGTCGAGGGATCTTTAAAGTGCACAGCCTGTAGCACACAGGGCCTCAGTTTATTGTCCCATCCGAACGACTAGACACTTTTTCCATGTCAGCCCCTCTTACCTACATCACTGTCCCTTTAAATTATACTTTAGACCTTCACTTTAACTGGTGAATATCACTCACCATGCAGACGACAGAGTGTCTTTGATCTTGTGCTACTGAATAAGGCTCTAAATATAGCATCATGAACCTATGACCTCTGGGGCAGGTGATGTGATAGAGGAGAAGGAAACTAGCTTTTGGAGTACACGGTCCACCAACACTGCTGAGCCGTCGTTATTTCTGTAGTTTGCTGTGTGATGTAAACTTATACTTAAACTATTAAAGTTTATTTTGGAATTTTACTTTTGTGACTCACGACGACAAATTTCACTCGGTCACATATTTAAGACATGGAAACCAGAGGCTACTAGAGAGACTGGAAGTGGGAGACTTGGTATGCACGTGGAGGTGAATGCACGTGTGTGAAAATGTATAAATTGAGTGAATGTTGAATGATTGTCGGCAGTGTTGATATAGACGTCACGTCTGGTTGATTGTCCTAGCTGTATTAATGTGTTTATTGCCTGAATGTAGTAGAAGGAATCGTCTATATGTAATCAATGAGGAACTGGATCCGGTATCAAGAATAAAAACTGAAGTGCAATTTTGGTCTTCAATCTGAGATTTGAACTTATGTTCAGATTTTTGTTTAAATTTAGGATTTAAGAAAAAAACTTGAGTCAAGACTTAAAGATGGGTTTCCTTATTTTTTATTGTCAACGTGATAATTTATGTATAATATAAATTATATATTGGTAGATACGTTTTGATCACGTAGGCTAATATACGTTACGTATTATACAAGCGCTATTTCATAGGTGGTTACTTAATAGCGGGCAAAACAATAACTTCCGTTATTGTGCAGCATGGCGTCTTGGTGTACTCTTGGGCAGTATTAACAAATGTTTAATGGCATCGTCTACCCGTCCGAAAAGTCACAATGCTGACAGGAAAATGTCACAGTGTGTAAACTATCTTTTAGAGAAGAGCCAAAGAGAGTTAGGTCTAGAGTTAGTACCTGGAAACATTATCTGTGTTGACCATCCTGACAGGGAGATCCTTTTCTCAAACATGCTTTCTCAATATTCGATGTGGCGCTTACCGATAATCAANC